GTCAAGCTCCTTATAAAGTAATAGTCTAGTGATCATTTTATGAGTTGAGGCATTCCATTGTTTGTGATCAGTAAAGAGGCCGGGTGTGTGCAGGTGCAGTGTGAACCCCTGTACCTCTAGAGCACATGGCTCACTTGTCCTCACAGAGAAGGGAGGTAAAATAGTACTGCGAAGGTCTGTTCAATCTTGCTGGCACTCCTTCAGGACAAGAGGTACTTCAAATGATCACAATCCATGGAATCTTGTTCTCATCTTGGTTATGACACTGTTCCTAAAGCCTTTGTGCATTGAAAGGCATTCCCTGACAGAGACTTCATTGGATGTAGTTTGCAATTGCCATTGATGATTTATATTATCTTCTAGCACAAATCAAACCAAAATTTCTTTAAAGTCTAACTCCATGTTATTGTGTGACCAAGGTGGTCCGCTGCGGATCTGCACGAAAATCCGTGCAGCCGCACCACCCACACAGAGGAATGCGGACCCGCGGGCGGGTGCCATTAGTTATAATGGCACACTTCCCACACTGAAAAACGCAACAATATTAGGAACCGAGGGTACCGTGCGGGCTGCGTTTTCGGAAAAAGTGCAGGGACTTCTTCCCTGCGTGTCACGGGGCACGGGAGTCCATTCAAATGAATGGGCTCTCGTGCTCGCGCAAAACGCGGTCCGCACGGCCGCATATGTGAACCTGGGGTTTATGATCTTTTAGTGGTCAGATCACACCTGTACATTAGACAGCCCTCTGATGTTTATAGGCAGCATAGTTTATAGGGCTATTAGGAGTTAGTTGTATAAGAATCTTCACAGAAAAAACATTGTAATTAAATACTGTATCCAAAGGTGTTTAGAAGGCAATTAACATGATGCAATGCTGCTACATAATAGAAGGTTACAGTGATGCAGATTTCAATAACAATACTACAGAGCAGAGTTTGCCAAATCCTCAGCCATAGGCCATGCATAACAGGCTTGGCAGGGCCCAGCTTCTATCTGTATTATTAAATGCTAAAATGTAAAGGACATCTCTATCATGCTGTTTTTGTTCAATTTCTTTTAACAGACCAAGCTGTCCAGCAAAAGTGGCAGTTAGAGAGTTAAGACAAACCATTTAACACTGACAGGGGTTCTTACAACGATCGACTTTTATTCAGTAAAACCTTTATCCTAACAGGGAGACTTGTAACTGCTTAAATAGTTTAAGCTGGAGTGGGGCTATACTGGATGATAAGTTCATCTTAACCACTCCTCAATGTACCCCTACATAGGCAGGTTGAAGGGGTTATACCAGGGGGATGCCTGCAGCTACATGCATTATCTCAGTATCTATTTTTTTTTTTTTCAGCTGGCGATGGGCTTTAATGTAAAAGTGATCTTAGCAGCTAATTATCCACTGGATCGCTTTTACAGGCGGCAGAAGGGGTACCCCCAGTTCCGTTGACTGACCATAGTAATACCCAAGGGTCCCTGATCATCTCTATGGTCTAAGAAACCAGAAGAGATGAGTATTTTGTTACTTATTAGTTTCACCAGGATATAAAGAAGCCATTATTGGCTTGTGAAAGCATTAGATCAAACCATTTTGGGCTTGATCTAATGCTTTGTAGGGCAGAGCAGAGCTCTGGGGTCCAATAGACCCCATATCTCTCCATAAAGAAGACCTGTCATTGCTCCAGCTATCAAAACGGATGTTGTTCATCCCTTGTGACAGCCATAAAAGTGATTAAAAAACAAAAAAAAAAAGTGTGTACACTAAAGTTTTAAAGCACCGCCGTGCTTGCGCGCACACAGGCGAACGCATACAGTATCGCCATGAAAGTTAACCACTTCCAGTCCGGACACTTTTACCCCCTTCCTGACCAGGGCAATTTTCAGCTTTCAGCTCTATCACACTTTGAATGACAATTGCGCGGTCATGCAACACTGTACCCATATGAATTTTTTTACCATTTTTTTGAGACAGATAAAACTTTATTTTGGTGGTATTTATTCACTGCTGGGATTTTTATTTTTTTTTTGCTATGTAAATGAAAAAGTCCAAAAATTTTGAAGTGTTTTTCTTATACAATTTTGCAAATAAATAATATTTCATCATAGATCTTGGCCAAAATGTATTCCGTTATCTTTTTAGTAAAAAACAAAAAACAAAGCCAAATTAGTTTATAACCAAAAATTATAATTTTTAAACATTTTTTTTTTTTTACATTTTTATTTTTTGTTATATTATTTTATTTTATTTTTTTTTACATACGGTCACCCTAGCAGTACAGTGTCACCATGGTGACACTGTACTACTTTTGGGGCGTGATGAAGATTTTTTTTTTTTACTTTACACTGATTGCTTTTACACCCATATAGGATGTAAAAGCAATCATTTCTCTTTCTCTCTGTCTGCATTCTTGTAGCCATTGAGAACTACTGAGTGAGCTGTGATTGGTCACAGCTTGTCACATGGTAGAAGGCTGTTGTGAATAGCCTTGTACCATGTGACCTCTGTGATCATTCACAGATTTCACACGTAGTAAGCAATGATGTCACAAGTGACATCTTGCTTACTACTTTGCATGTGATCACTGATTGGCCAATTAGTGATCACATGATCGGGACCTCATACAGAGGTCCCGTCGGACGATCGGTGTTTCAATGTGTCCGGAGGACACAGCGGGCACTGGATCGCGGTGCTGCGTGCTCCCGGTGAGCGCGCACTAGCAGGGTGCGGAGAGGCCATTTATAAACGGCCACCCAACCATGCAGTTCCACCGTCCGGCCTTTTATATACAATGGCCGGGCGGGAAATGGTTAAAGAGAGAGCAATAGTTCTAGCACTAGACCACCTGTGTAGTAACTCCAAACTGGAAATCTGTAAAGGCGTTTAAAGCGTTGCCTATGGATAATTCAATGTACCGTAGTTTGTCACCATTTCAGTGTGCACAATTTTAAAGCTTGATTTGCTGGATATCTAGTTACTCAGCATAACATTTATCTTATATATTCACCAAACAATTGGGTATTATATTGAGCATTAAAATTCACTAAAGTATATTTTTCCCCTTAAAAATTGAGTTTGAAAAACCACTGCCAAAATACTGTGTGACATACAAAAAATTGCGACACCCACCATTTTATTCTCTAGGGCTTCTGTTTCAAAAATGTAATAAATGTTTTATATATATATATATATATATATAATTTTTTTTTAACATGTAGGAGGGGAATGTCAGATTTGGCCAGGGGGCTAAAGGGGTTAATCTACTTGTCCATCTAACATTACTCTGTGGATAGTGCTGCTATCCATGAGTGACTATGTTGTTCCTCCGTAGATAGAGGAGCCACCCTAAAGCTGCCATACATGGATCGAAAGTCAGCTGATTTAGCAGGGACCAGCCAAATTTCGATCCATGTGTGGGCAGGGAGGTTCTACAGCCATTGATCAATCGACATCTGTAAAACCACCCTGTTGATTTTTTTTTTTTTGTCGCTTGATCAGTGCCACTGAATATAGCCAGCAGTACTGATCAGTGTATTTTGATGACGGGGAAGTCTCCTTGCTGTCAGAATACAAAGGCAGAGTGGAAGGATTCCCCCATCCACATTTGAGTGTGTAGATGGGGGAATCAAGTCATTTTTTTTTTTTTTTCTTTCAACCCACTGGTTAAACAAAAAAATAAAAAAACGTCTCCTGTTTAGGCTGCTTAAGACAGGACGTGTGTTACTGGCTACATCATCTGGTGAAAATAAAGGAAAATGAACTAAAAATAAAGAAAAATAACGCAACCACCACATTTAAGAATTGCTAGACTAAAGTATGTCACATTTTTGTTTTTGGGTTTAATACCACTTTAGGTGTATATTTGGTATTGGAAAGTTTGGTGAATATCGTAGTGGCATTTCTGCTATGAACAGTTCACCAGCAAATGTGCTTGTGAATGTTTAGAAGTGTTTTTCTAAAATGCTATTCTTTTAACTGGCATAGAAATCTAAATGGTGTATGAAACAAATAGTGTGGCGCTAATAACAAACTGTGATAAAATAAATGGTGAGTAACACCTGGTAAGCGTTGCCATATACCATAATATAATAAAAGTGTATGGGTCAAAAATGTAAAAGGATCACCTGTGCTGCAATCTTTAATCCAGCAAAGTAGATCAGTAGCTCTTTTCATGCTGTGTTATGATGCGCAGTCTGGCCATCACCAGCCGCTTTGGAATGTAAGTGCAACACTTTTTTTTTTTTAGAAATAAATGTATTCCTTATGTTTTTATGATATGGGCTGGCATTTGTGTTTTTTTTTTTATTTTTGAGAGCTACTGATCTGCTTTGCTGGATTAAAGATTGTGGCATAGGTGATCCTTTTGGCAAGAGGGTGGCCAGGACAACCTTAAAGGCGCATGTAGACCTTTTGCTTTTTAGCATAGGTCCATGACATCTGGTAAGCTGCTGACTTTTTCGCATGGTTTTAGTGTCACTGGGTGTTTTTTTTTTTTTTTTTTTAAGAACAACTTTACAGCAATGCACAACTTTTGGAGGACTTCTTGGTCAATTATTATTACTTTTTCTTGGATTCACTTTATATTTCTGACCCATACACTGTTATTATATTATGGTATATTGTGAAAAGCTTACCGGGTGTTACTAATCATTTATTTTATCACAGTTATTATACAGGATTTATATAGCTCCAACAGTTTGTGCAGTTCTTTACAAAATGAAGGTAGACATAACAGTTACAATACAATGTGGTACAAGAGGAAACAGAGGGCCCTGCTCCTTTATATTCTTTGTTATTAGCATGCACACTTTGTTTTACAGTATACAGTTTGTTTTGGGCTTAGTATCACAAGCTTTTAAGTGTTGGCAGCTGTATTTGTGTTAGGGATTTTATCCTTTAATGCAGAGGTTTCTATAGAAATATAAATGCATTTTGTTCAGTTATATTGTGTCATAGAAGACCTGACCATTTTGGTAATAGGTTTTAATTTTGTTTTTTTTTCCCCCTCTAGTCAAAGTTAACCTGGGGTCCGTATCTCTGGTTTTACATGCTGAGAGTAGCAACATCAACACTTTCAGGTATTGTTGTGCTTTGCTCTGATCATTTAGAAAACCCGTTTAAACAGACAGAACTGTTTTGCTTAGATCCTGCTAAAAATGTAGGTTGGTTTATCTAAATTTTGTTTTTTAAACCTTGGTGATGTAGTTGCTTGATAGGAATATATGGATCCTTGTATGACCTAAACTGCTCGACTGTGGCCAGCAGTTTTATACTGTTGTATTAATTTTATACTACCAGTAGCAGATCTTTTACAGATAATTAAGGATGTCCACAAGCTATGCTTCCCTGCAGAGGTCATTGCCTCCGCTTGCCACAAATTAGTTGTCATGAATATCCAATTACCCTCCGGAAGATTTTTGCTATACGGCACAATTACACGGTATTGCAACACTGTACATAAATGAAATTTTATACCATTTTTTTTCACAGAAATATAGCTTTCTTTTGGTGGTATTTGATCATTACTGGGTTTTTCTATTTTTGTGCTCTAAATGAAAAAAGACTGAAAATTAACATGTGGGGCAATCAAAGGGTTAACTCTGTGTTAGGGAGTGATTAAACTGTGCTGTTTTTTCATGCCTTTTTGCTTTTTTTTTTTATCTCCCTGCTTTGCACAGAGATAAAAACCAGCACAACCCTGCTGACATGAAAGAGACCTGTGTTGTTGACACTCACTGATCTCTCTCCTTTCAGCTGCTCTGCTGATCACCGAGTCCCGGCCATGAATTGCTGGCCGGGACCCAGTGATTGTCACCTACAGGAACCAATGACAGCGCGGGTAGGATGGCAAGTGGATATATGACATTTATTTAGTAAAACTGCTACAGGGTGGATGGCAAGTGGCAGGGTGGATTTGATTTAAATCAAACTGATTTAAATCACTAGTCAGTAAGGCTTGATTTAAATCCTAGTTTTCTACATAAAGACTAATTCTTGCTGGTATAACTTTAATATGCAAGTAGATGAAGATTTTTAGAATAACAACTTTTCATATTAGTTTTTTTTATCCCCAGTTTAATAGGTTAATCATTCATATTTGGACAACTTTTCTGTTGTACTTAGGAAGGAGAAAAATAATCATTACCTTAATAATAACAATTTAAATAGATTTATTCAACTGAAACAATAACATTCCAGCATATGTTATTTGCTCAAACATCCATGTTTGTTAACTAATTTGGCTAAACAAAATATATATATTTTAAGAAACTTAGACTGTCAGCCCCTTCCTCCTCACACTTGGTTTCACTTTCTTCTTGTGCAGATCTATTCCACTCCAAACAATCAGAAAAATATTGTTTCAATTCTATTCACTGAACTTCTTGTAACTTAGCACTGAAGGGGTTGATTCTGTATTCATAGGTTTGTAGAAGTTAGGATGAAGGTCTTTTTCTTAACTCTGTTCATGTTATAACATTTTTGCTGTGAAGAAGAGGCATGTGATCTCCGCTGAGTCAAATTCAGTTTTGAGAACTGCAAAAGTAAACCAAGCATCTGTGATAATATCTTGTAGGCAGAGAAACTGCCCAATAATCTTACAAAAACCTCTGGAAGAGCATGACATTGTGAATGGATTAATGGAATTTATTTACCAAACAAATTAAACATATACAGCCTTATTCTACATAATTAAAAAACGAATCTTTATTTCATGATGGAATAACCTTTGGATGGTAATATATTTTCCTCAAAAAGCATTTTATTTAAAAAAAATCAGATTTTAAATAAAAAAAATCTTTCTTTTTTTATTTTTTTTAAAAAAATCATTGATTTTTATCCACCCTGGCAAGTGGATATATGACATTGTTCAGGCATATTGCAAGTTCGACCATATATGCAAATGTTCATTTATATCCATTAGATAATAGTGGCCCATCTTCGCAATCCTTGTTTTTTCATTAATACATACATTGCTATTCCCCAATATGTGCAATTTCAGATGCATTTGTGCAGTGTTTAGTTTACCCATTCTACCAAAGTAAGTGTGTGTTTTAATAAAAAGATTGCGTCTTCTCTGTGATTTCATTTTTTAATATATCCCAATTAACAGACACATGCAGAGTCCTATAATTCACATAATAAGTTGTTTACATTAGAATAATGACACCATCCTGAGCCCACTGTGACATTGCCTTCCTGTGGGCTCAGAGTGTTTGCTCCTGTATGTAATGTAGCTCAGCCTTTCTCAACCTTCCTGACATGGAGGAACCCTTTAAAATAACTTTTGACTTCAGTGAACCCCTGCTTATTATTATATTAACAACTCTGTACATTAGTGTGATGTATGGTCTTTAACCTTTGTGGTCATTTGGAAAGAATTCCCCCCCTTAACTACTTGCCAACCGCAGATAGCCGAATGACGGCTACACTGCGGCCGGCTAGTTCTGGGAGGGTGTCATATGACGTCCTCCCAGAATGCGCTCTCCTGCGTGCTCCCGGTGGCGCACACCCGGCGCTCTCCGTGATCGCTGTGTCCTACGGACACAGCTGATCATGTGATGTGGTAAAAGGCCAATCCAATGACACGCTGATCACCGGGAAATGCAATTGCCGGTTCTTGGCTGCATTTTCCTCACACTGTCAGAGCGTGAGGGAAGTACTGCCAAGAACCGGCAGTTGTCAGAGAAGGGATCGGCACCGATCATCGGGGCACTGATGATTAGTGCCGTGATGATCGGTGCCCAGCAGCGCCACCCACCAGTTCCGCCCATCAGTGCCGCCCACTAGCTCTGCCCACCTGTGCCACCCACCAGTGCCCATCAATGCAGCCCAGCAGTGCTGCCACCAGTCAATGCCTAGCAGTGCCGCTAGTCAGTACCCAGCAGTGATACCAGTCAGTGCTGTCTATCACTACCCATCATCAGTGCCGCCTATCCGTGACACCTCATTAGTGCCGCCTATCCGTGCCGCCTATCCGTGCCACCTCATTAGTGCTGCCTATCAGTGCCCATCAGTGCTGCCTCATCAACGCACATCAGTGAAGGAGAAAAATTACCTGTTTGAAAAATTTTATAATAGAAACAAAGAAACTTTTTTTTTTTTTTTTCAAATTTTTTGCACACTTTTTGTTTATAGCGCAAAAAGTAAAGCGCCCAGCTGCGATTAAATACCACCAAAAGAAAGCTCTATTTGTGAGAAAAAAAGCTAAAAATTTCATATGGGTATAACCTTGCATGATCGCACAATTGTAAATCAAAGTGCGACAGCGCTGAAAGCTGAAAATTGGCCTGGTAAAGAAGGGGGTATAAGTGCCCGGTAGGCAAGTGGTTAAAGACCACTAAAAAGATCATTGGTGTCAGTGGTTACACCTTTGTGTAGCAACCTCTGGACGAAACGGAACAGCGGTTGAGAAACTCGGCTGTAGCGATTGAAAAATCTTTGTCTTCATTCCTGTGTTAGAGGTTCATGCTGGAGGTCATGTGGGTAAATCTAGAAAATTAGTTTGTAAAGAGACACATAAATGCATCTGCTGTTCCAGCCAATTGGGTTTTGATGTTTAGCAAGAATGTTGTTCACATACACTGGTTAATGTTCACAGATGTATTTTAAAATGATGTAATCGTTTCTAAGTAGGTTCTGACTCCTACATGCTCCAATATAATTTATGTGCAGTACATCTTTATTTTGTAGGGTTTGAATAAGAGTTAAAATAATATAAAGCCATTATGTGGGCATTTTTCTCCTGGAATTTGGTATCAAAGTGTTACTAAACCCATGACCCTGCATTCACTATATCTGGTCATCCACAGTGCACAGAACATGTAAATGCAATTGTTTTAATAGATATAAACTGCTAAATACCTTTTATCATCAGCAGTATATAGCAGTCTTGTGACTTCTCTCAGTGTCTGGCTGAGCACTGGTTAAAGCTTGTAGGCAGAGTTTTCATTCTGCTCTGACTGTCTTATGAGGCTGCATAACCCCTGACCCTCTGTCTGGACAGTGCTGATTGGCCCAGTGCTAATCACATGCACCCTTCCAAAGAAAAAAAAAAAAAGCAATGCACACTAAACTGAGCATGTGCAGAGTGACTCCTTGAGCTCTGTACTTTTAGCAGATGGATTGGGGACTGTGGAAGAAGGGATCAGAGAAGACAGCATAAAACAGCCTTATTACACAACGCAGAGGATTAACCCTTTAGGTTCCACTGAGAGTATAACAAGCATGCTTTACTGCGTATACTGACTGATTTTTACTGTTGTGGGTTTAGTAACACTTTAAAGTATATATTATAAATCTACTTATCTGTGTATTGAGAGCAGATCTGATTTCTAAAACACCATTTCACCTACCCTGCAACAGAAGCTGTCAATCACCCCCACTTTCATTGGTGAAGCTTCTGCTTCATCCAGTGTCTGTCATTTATCCAAATGCTGGAGCTTTAAATAATCTCATACAAATGGGACAGTCAGTATTTAGACAGCTGATGTGATTCAATTTCCCCGCTCATTTGACTAAAATAATGTGCCGAGTGCCTATTTTCCTAGAGCAGTAGTATATGAAGCAGAAAATGGTCTGTATTAACATTTACAAATTGACTTTTCAAAATGGTTTGCTTATTTATTTCAGTGTAAGAAGTGCAAAGCTGAACATTGATAGCTCTTGTAATTTAAAGATATGTCTAATGGCACCTGATCCTATAAAGAGGTAGAAGCTTTATGTAAAATGATTTGCTTGAGCCTAGAGGATATTAATGGTTCAATCCAGGACAGAACTATAATAATGTAAAACATGGAGTTCTAATGTATAGACATTGCTAAGTATGCAATCTGTTTATATTTTCTAGACGTTGTTACTTATGCAATTTTCATATTTTTCCTCAGTTTGTGACTTTCTAGGAGAGAAAATTGCCTCAGTGTTAGGAGTCAGTACACCCAAGTACCAGTATGCAATTGATGAATACTACAGAATGCAGAAAGAGGTAAGTAAAATGTTTATGTCCTTTTCTACCTAGTTGTAAATCAATAGTAGTAGGATGGGTAGTTTTTTTTTCTTTTCTTTTTTTTTTAATATATCTTTTTATTTTCCTTTTTTTTTTCCCCAAATCCTAAAACAACATACATTCATAGTTGTCAAATGAGCAATAAAAACCATTCCCCTATCCTGGACCAGTCCTGGACTCTTTCCTCCCACTTTTCCTCTGGTATCTTTGACAGATCCGCTGCTGCTAGATATTCCCACATTTTCTTTTTCTTTACTTCCTCTGTTACTATTTGGTTCTTAGGGTTCACATCATACAACCTACTATAGTATTTTTGGAATATTTTCGCAATATCAGTGGTGGAGTATACCAGTTCTCCTTTTTCATCCTTTTATTTTTTCAATAAAATTCATCGATTTTCTTTTCTTTCAATCTTTTCATCAGATGTTTTCCTGGTTTATTCCCCCACTGATATCTTTCTTTGGAGACCCTATTAAAAATCCTCGTCCTCTCCTGTTCCAGCAGGTCCTTTAACTCCTCTCTCTTTAAGGATAGTCTTATGCTGTATCTCTATATCCTGTCTCTTTTTATGCTCCTGTTCTAATCTATGTAACTCCTCCGTCAACTCCATACTTTTTCCCAGCACTCCCTGCAAAAAGACATCTGGATTTTGATTCGAACAATAGATGTTGACCAATGTATACTTTTTGTCCCTGCATTTTCCTTCTTACACACAAAAACCAGCCTTCTGGGTCTACCAATTCCCTCTCCACATCAAAGCCTACCCTCCTTGAAAACCCAATTGCTACTCCTTTAGCCCTCCTTATTGGTGAGTATGCATAGTACCAGGTTGGATAGTGCCTCGAATATAACTTAACATTAGATTCATATGTTAATTGTGTTAATTGTGTCTCTTGTAAGAACAATACATGTATAGAATGTTGGTAGATTTCTCTAAGTATCATATGCCTTTTAGTGGGAGAATTTAAACCTTTCACATTATAGGTCATGAGATTAATCCTACTCGTAGCCATTAGATGTTTCTTTTATCATTCTACATTTCTGTTTAAAGGAAGAGAGATATGTACAGCTCAAATCATGGACCGTCCCTCTGCCCCATCTATCCCACCCCCCCTTCCCTCCACTACTCTTCCCCCCCCCCCCCCACTACTCCCCTCTCCCTTCCCTAACCTACTCCTGAAAAAACCCTGGCCTGCACATTGCCCTGGTGGAATCTGATGTGAGATTCCCCCACTAATGATTCCTATTCTGGGGTACAACTCTGAACATGTGCGCCTGATCTTACCCCCCCCCCCTTCTCAACATAGGGTTGAAAGCTATTCACCTATTTTTGTCTCGTCTATGGGGTGGGAAATGGTCTTCCCATCAGAATCTCAAAAGGAGACAACTTCCTTTTAGTCTCCTGACACACCACCCTCTCTATTTTACTACTTCCTTAGCAATTCACTAAGAATACTAAAAGAGGGAGAAGGGAGGAGGAGCGGCTGGAGACAGGGAGAATTTACCACCCCCCTTCTCTCCACTCACCCCAACATCTCTCGGTCACCCATCCCAAACACCATCTATTATTTCTTTTTATTAACTGGCTTCCACTTCTTTTCTTAACCTTACATTTTTGTTTAGCCCCTCTGACCATCCCTTAGTGTCCACATTCTGCAGTTCCAGTTTTTCACAAAACTTCTTCTGGAAATCTTAACCTTGCCGACTTCCCATACCTCCATCCAATCAGACATGCCGGGAACCCCTAGTTGTATCGCACTCTTTTCTCCCTCATCTGATCCAATAAAGGTTTCAACAATCTTCTTCTCACTAGTGTCTCGGATGCAATGTTCACAAACACCTGCAAGTTCGATTCTCAGAACCTTCTTTTTCACGGTTTTTTTTCCAAATTCTTTCCCTATCCTCATAATGGTGAAAATGGACAATCATGTCTCTAGGGATGTCTGATGCTAATCCTGGCGGGTATCTTAGCCTGTGTACTCTCTCAATTTTCAAAGGATCTAAGACTGATCTGTCCATTATTGGGTAAAACACTCTCCTTATTTGTTCCCTAAGGTCCTTCTCCTGCAAATCTTCTGGTAATCCTCGGACCCTTAGATTATTTTTTTTTCTCTCTCTGTTCTCTTGATCCTCCAGTTTAAAAGAGAACTTCCTCTGTTCCCTTCTTATCTCCTCTAACTGCTTCTCCAGATTAATGATCTGCTGGACTTGTATCTCCGTTTTCTCCTCCACTTCTTTTACTCTTGTTAACATTAATCCCAGATCCTTGTGAAATATCACCTTTTAATTTTTCATGGAAAACTCCAACTTTGCGAACATTTCCGCCAACTCTGTTCTAGGAAATTGTGATATTGTTCTCTGTTGTTCCAGAACTTTTTGATCGATTTCCACTTTCGGCAATTATAGATTCGTTGATCTTATTCCCTTCCCTTACTCCTATTGATAATCTAGACTGCTCATTGTCATATGTCCTACTTCCTTCCTGTTGTTTCTCCATGCCTTGTATCTCTGGGCTTTTTTCTTGCAATGACATATATTCCTTTATTGTACTAGTATTTGCGTTGGGTTGCGGGGTTTTTTTTACTACCCCCCCCCACCCCCCCCCCCCCCCCCCCCCCACCTCCCCCTCCCCCCCCCCCCCCCCCCCCCCCCCCACCCCCCCCCCCCCCCCCCCCCCCCCCCCCCCCCCCCCCCCCCCCCCCTCCTTTAGCGGATTTGTTCCTCATATTGACTCACCATAGGTTTTAACTCAAAGTTCGAAATACAGTATTGTCAGATCTGAGACAGGAAGAAAAAGAGTCCCTCCTTTCCACCTCCTCAATAAACTTGTGCAGTCCTAGGCAACTTTAAATATATTTATTTTCTTTACATTGCTATTTGGCCTCTGTGCTCCTCACATTCCTTGGTCACTCAGCCCCACCTCTCAGATATACCTTTACAGATACAAATAACAGAGACAGTGGAAGTATACATCTTCAGCCGTTGCCAATGGAAACTCACCCTCACCTTCCGAGGTTCCGATTTGCAGCCTGAAATAAAGACAGTTTTTGTTTTAACCAGCTATATTTACTTGGTGCAACTTATAACATCCAAGAGAAAGATAGATATAACACAAACATGAAAAACAAACTTAAAAATGTAAAAAACTGAAACACTGAGTTGGAAAAAAGACTACCCCCTTCTTAAAAATGACTTGTAAACTCAATCAGGTGTAGCTAATCACCTTCTCAATGGCACAGATCAGCTGTGGTCCTTTTGTTTAGATGAGCATGAAAAGAGCTTTGCTGGAGCATTTCAGTCCCTGGTAGTGCAACTGAAGCAAACAATCTGCTATGGGTGGCAAGGCCCTGGTAAGAGATCTCCAGGATAAAGTTGTGGACAGGCACAAGTCAGGAGATGGATATAAAAAAAATTCCAAAGGCTTTATCAATGCCTAGAAGCACAGTGAAGTCTATTATTAAGAAATGGAGGGTATTTGGTACAACACAGACCCTCCCTGACTGTCTCTCCGAACTGGATGAAAAGCCAGGAGGAATCTGGCCAGAGAGGCTACCAAGAAGTCTACAGAAACTCTGAAGCATTTGCAAGAATTTCATGACAGAGTGGTCATTGTGTGCATGTGACAACAATATCACAAATTCTCCAAAAATGTGGCTTGTCTGGGAGGGTTGCAAGGAGAAAGCCACTCCTCAAGAAAGGCCACATGCAGTCGCCACTGAGCTTTGCCAGAATGCACCTTGAAGATTCTGAGGCCACATGGAAAAAGGTGTTATGGTCAGATGAGACTAAAAGTGAATTATTTGGCCTCAACACTAAACGATATGTCTGGCGGAAATCCAGTACAGCTCACCATCCAAATAGCACCATTCCTACAGTAAAGCATGGAGGTGGTAATATCCTGGTATGGGGGTGTTTCTCTGCAGCAGGGACTGGAGAACTTGTCAGGAAAAATGGATGGGGCAAAATACTGTCAAACTCTTGAGGAAAATCTGCTGCCCTCTGCCAGAAAGTTGTCAATGGGAAGAAGGTTTGCCTTCCAACATGACGATGACTCAAAACACACAGCAAAAATGACCACACAGTTGTTGAAGGAAAAAAAGGTGAATGTCCTTGTATGGCCTAGTCAGAGCCCAGACTTAAACCCATTGTAAGTCTGTAGAATGACTTGAAGACTGCAGTCCACAAAACAACACCATCAAATTTAACTGAACTTGAGCAGTTCTGCAAAGAAGAGTGGGCAAATATTGCAAAGTCTAGATGTGCAAAGTTAGTAGAGACATATCCCAACAGACTAAACAGTGGAATTAAAGCAAAAGGTGGTTTAAAAAATACTGACAAAAGGGGTGATCCTTTTTTCAACTCAGTGATTTTGCTTTTGAATTTTTTTTTTTTTTTTTTAAATAAAACTTTTTTGTCTTCATTTCAGTCTGCAAAGCAACAAAATGTGATTATTTTAAAGGGGGTGATTCTTTTCTATATCCACTGCATGGCTAGCATTGTACCAGTTGTACCAGCTGAGTTTAACACTGATAGTATCCCAACACTGGTCCCCGCTCAGAAAACAGGATACAGTAAGGCGTACATAACTATGTGCTTCCTGACCTTAAGCCCAATCCTAGATACAAGGGAAAACTACACAGTGGCATCTTCTAACCACTTCGCCCAAACTTTTTCAAACTTCCAAGTGCAACCCCTATTTATATAGATGGCTTTATAAAGTGGTAGTTGAGAATTAACAAATTGTTCCCAGAATACAATTGTGGGAGCCATGGGTTTTTTTCCAGTGCAACGTATGCACCCTTCTGGCATCGAATAGCAGTAATTCAAGTGATGTCCTCACAGCAATGGTGTTGGTGTTCAACAAGGCCCAACAAACAGATTCTCGGAGAGGGGGTGAACGGGATCTGGGCTGTCCTACTGATAATGCCTACCATAGATTCCCAGAACACCTGGATAACTGGGCAGGTCCAGAAAATATGAAAATGGTCCCCCACATCCTGGTCACAATGCCAGCAGGTTGGAGAGATTGAGGGGTTGAGCCGGTGAATCCTGTGTGGTGTGTAATAGGCTCTATGTAGGATCTTGAATTGTATTAGCCGATCTGTGAGTGAAACCAGCTGCTTAAAAGGCATGTCCCACATCTGTCCAATCCTTATCATCCAGATCTTGAACATCTAGGAGCCACTTTTGTCGGAGGGTAGGCAAATCAAGGAATACCACCGTGAAGATATGGGAAACCGTGTCAAGGTTGGCTTTTCAAGAGAGTCCGAGCGAAGTAGGGCCTCCAGGTTGGACCACTTAAGCTGAATTGATTTATGTGAAAACTGGAGGACTGGTAGTTTCTTAGATTGCCATATGTATCTTGTAGACCTGGTCTCAGTGATTGGCAGGGAAAGGAGTAATCAGCACTTTGTTTCGCTCAAAGCCACTATTTAGTAGGTTTTTTTTTCTCAAGGAAAGTACAAATTTAGAGTAGAATTGACACGGTGAGCTGCGATTTGGCTCCGCCACCCCCCCCCCCTTCTCCTCATACACAACCACAGCTGGATGGTTGGTGGTGCTGCCTCTGAAACTTGTTGGCTGTTTTTATATGACTTTTTTTAAATCAAAAGTTAAATTATCTTGGACTATATTTTTGCAATCTTGGTCTGGTGCGCCTTTCTGTATTTCCATGGTTTGAGCTACATTTACTGAAGCCTTGCTTTGTGGGAGCCTCCTCGCCTAACCTATTGAGCTTGTTTGAAATTTTCCTTCATCTGAGACACTGACCTGCAAGTTTAAAATTTCCAGGCACCTGTGAGAAAGTTGTTTTGGAGAAAGATATTTGGTGCTGTTTTTTTCATGGGAGCAGGTTAGGAAATAAAAAAAAAAAAAAAAAAAGGAGAAAATCTGAACATTGGCTGAGCGTGTATTTTCTTTAAAGCTAAATTCAGTAAGTAGGTAATGGTTAGAACCCCTTTTTCATATTGCTGTGTGCTTTGTTACAGGAAGAGTCACATGGAGTAAAGGAAAATCTCCAGTGGAGTCAGACTATTAAAACTGAGAGGAGTTGGGCTTTGAAAATTGACAGTCACTAAACATTTGTAATAGTGTGACTAACTTTCCACCAATGGATCTTTATCTTTCTTGTCTGTAGGTGGAAGAGGAGGAGGAAGAGAATGAAATGTCGGAGCGGGCTGAGAAACAGTACCAAGAGCAGCGCAGCCAGCAGCCAAGTGAGAGCAGTGCTCAGACACAGCAGCCAGAGGCTGCCACCTCTTTTGTGAACATTAGTTTTGTGATGGAAGGAGAGGATTCGGTGAACCTTGCACAGAAGCAGGAACTGTCTGCTGTCCCTACTTAATAGGAAGTGAACTGAGACGGGGAATACAAACAGGAAAGCTTCACCTGCCAAAATCATCATGGTGCCTTTCTAAAATGACTTGAGTCCCATTTTGAACCACCATACTGTGTAATAACATAATAAATTCACCAACAGAACAGATAAATGGAAGATCAAGGAAAGTTCTTATGTTACTGCATGTCCTACCCCTGTAAATCTACCAATGTGAACAAACTGGGTAGCTTGGGGAATTTAAAAGCATGAAGTAACTACAAAAGCAGATGTATTAAATCCTTTATATTTAGTAAATATTTCATTAAATAAGAAGCCTCTCAGTTTCTAACAATAAGATCATTAACCATAGATAACCATAGATATGTCTCAACATATACATATGTAGTATTTAGGCTATGTCCACCCAACATATTTCTTGGAACAAAGTCCACCTTCTCAAGGGTACATATGCAGATTAGAAAAATGTCTCCTCACGTAAATCAATTACATATGTACATACTGCGAACCATCACAGAGAATCATAAAAGCACATTTAATTGGAAGACCTGACATTGCTCCAAACTGAAGAACGTAGCGCATCAGGAGGGAGATCCAGAGGTGTAGGTAATGTCCCAAACAGGGGAGTACCTGCAAGAACCACCATTGAGCCCAGCATCAGTGTGCTTTTATTCTCTCTGATGATTTGCATATGTATATATGGAATTGATCCATATTGAAAGATACTCTTCTAGTCTGCATATACATCCTTGAGAAGTGGATTTTGTTGCAAGAAACATGTTGGATGGACATAGCATAAATGTTTCATATGTAGTTAACAATAATAGTACACTGAACACCGTTGGCTGTAAAGCTAAATAGAAGTATGGGCAAAACTCTATTTTAGATATACTTTTCATTTAGTAATGTACTTGTGTGATCCAGAGTCAACAGATAGCAGTCCAGCTGCCTGGTTAACAGCTGGCTCTGGCATTCAACACACGGTTGACCTCCTTTCCAGCCTGTTGCTCCAATGAGTGCTGGAGGAGCAGAGTGGGGTGCAGTGGCAGTCACTGGTCTCCACTGTGAGCAGACTAAGAATGGACTGCTCAGTGGTCAGATGAATGCTGAGATCTACATCCTAAAGTGATTCTAAACCTTTTATTTTTTTAAATAAAAAACATACTTACCTGCTTTCTGCAGTGGTTTTGCACAGAGCAGCCCTTATCCTCCTCTTCTGAAGTTCTGATGTAGGCTTGCTCCTGGGCCCCGCTGCCTTCATCCATAGATACAGCCAGTGGGGCTTAGCACCCCATTAGTCCTGCTATCAATCTGTCCTGTGAGGAAGGAAAAAGCCGCTGCACTCGGGCACAGCACTGGATCGCAATTGAGCTCAGGTAAATATAAGGCTTTAAAACCGCTTTAAGCTGGCCATGTAGTAATACGAACAATTTTCTAAAGAAATTCTATTAAGAATGTGTGTTCAATTTTTGGAATTATTAATGGGGCCAAAACAACATTTGTTTTTGAACACAGTGACATGAAAATTCAAAGGAGTAGGATGGAAAGTTTTTTTTTCTCTTGAAGGAACTGATTTCTTTCAATGGTTTGGTTTTTTTTTTGGGAAAGTCTATTCATTTCAAAATCAAACGTTCGTAATATATTTTTTATTTGCATTAACATACAATTGTTAGGACACGCTTTTGGGGTATGTCCCCTTCTTCAAGGTCCAAGCAGTGAGTACTGCTGGGACCTTGAAGAAGGAGACATACCCCAAAAGCTTGTCCTGAAAATTGTATGTTAGTGCAAATAAAAAAAGTATCACGGACAATAGTCAATTGTTTCTTTCGCAATCACCTCAAGCAAAATCAAACGTTAAAAGCAAATTAAATTTTGAAGTACCTTAGACATTCATCTAGCCATTGAATATACTGAGAATTTTCACACAAATATTTGTTCGAAAATCTAGTGTATGGCGAGCTTTAGAGTTGGCGTGGGACAGCCGCTTTGCCACATGGATGCTGCAGAATAGAGGTTAGTATGTATGTTTTTTTTGTTTTTTTTATGAATCCCCTTATTTTTATTTAATGATTTTATCTTTGGAAATTGACAGGCGTCTTGTTTTATTGAAGATATGGGAATATTTCAAAATGTCTGCTTTTTGTAGTTGCTGTATGGCATTAAATCCCCCAACTACACACTTTGCTCACATTTTATTAACATAATAACCTCCTAACTCTGAGTACCCAGAGAGATTTATGTTCACCTGACTGGTAGAATTGTAACTTCCTCTGATGTATCACTTTAGGGCTACAGCTGTCATGTCTTTATATTTGTAATCCCCTAAGTACTTGCATGTATATATGTGACTTTTGTGCCTGAAGTTTACCAGGCTTGTTGTCTATTCATAAATTAAGGGAATATTGTATCAAAATGCTCCTTGTATACTTTAAAAAAAAAAATTATATCATGGTCAGGGTTTATAAATATGTAATATTTGTATAAAAGGTATAGGCTCATGTACACACAAACTCTCCCATGTATGATGAAAAGCACTTAAGAGTATGTGTCAGCATGGTGTAAGAGGCAGTGATGTGTGGAAAAAAAACTTGATTTTGTAGTTAGACTACACTAAGCACTCTGTTGCTCTTTGCACTGTTATTTTAGGAGGTTTATATGTTGTGACATATTTGCCCTACTCCACATTATGTTAACAAGGGCCATTTGGTGGGATTATTAAAAATATAACTAAAGACAATTTGAATAGAGTGGTCAGGGGTTAGAACCACTCTGGGTTTTTTTTATTGCTGTCTGTGTTCCATTAGAGAGATTCATCTTCTCTGTTTTTCCTGATCAGCAATGTCACTGGGCATGAAAATTAAAGTGGTTCTAAAGGCTTGTTTTTTTGGTTTTTTTTTTGTTTTCTTTTCTTAAAAATAATAAACACATCATACTTACCTGCTGTGTGCAGTGGTTTTGCACAGAGCAGCCCCAATCCACCTATTTTCAGGTCTCCTGCCGGCGCTCCCCCTTGCTGAGTACCCTCAGAGCAGGATGTTTGCTCTGGGGGCACTCGTGTGTGCTTGCTCCTGAGCCGCCTCTGTGTGTGTCTATGGGACACGCAGAGCTTGACTCAGTCCCGTCCCCTCCTTTAGTGGCTGTAATTGACAGCAGTGGTAGCTTATGGCTCCCAAATGCTGTGTCTCAGCCAATGAGGAGAGAGTCCCAGGAGAGCCACTGCTGTCGTGCACATCACTGGATCAAGATGGGGCTTAGGTAAGTATTATGGGGGCTGTGGGGGTAGGTGAACACGCCAACATAGAATGCATGAAGGTAAAAAAAACTTCAGCCTTTAAAACCACTTTAATGTAATGCCAAAATGAATTTTCAGTTGCCACCAGAACAGGGATAGAGGGGAAATCCTCAATGGGGACACTTGTTTCCATCACATCTGTCCAAGTTGTCATTGGTAAGATACTTTCTGATTTCCTGTTGAGTCTACAGGTTAGAAAGTGAAGAGAAATCTCCCTAATGAGACACCGGTGAGAAAAGAAAAAAAAGTGGGTTCTAACTCTACTCCAAAATGGATATAAAAGTATTAACTTTAGCTGAGACTTTAACATTGTACTTTTGTTCCATTTAATGGGTCTCTAAGTGCTAAATTGTAGAGAGGATCAGTTTCCTCTGTATCAAAACAAGAAGTTAACATTTTGTGTCTGTTATAGGCCAACAATATTACTGGCAACAGAATGTCAGTCTCATGCCAAAGATTTACTCCATACAACATTTTATGGATACAGTGGGGAGGGGTTAAGACCATTCTCTAGATTTTATCGCCATCTGTGTCTCTGTTGGGGATGTGTATGCTCACTTTCTGTCTTAGTGACAGAAATTAGTGCGAAATCTACAATTTTACATTTACCAGAGTAAGAGTCAAGGGGAAATGTCTCAGGGAGGACTCCTGTCAAAGATTTTCTGACTTCCTATTGTATTAGAACAGAAATTGTGGAAAAATCTCTTCCATGGTGAACCAGAGAGTAACTAAAAATCTGTAAAGAGTTCTTACCTTTCCCCAGTCTGTCCAAATCTATAAAAAAAAAAGAAAAAGGGGGCTCTTGCACAGGAGTTCCACTTCAGTTATGACACGCTGAGGTCATAAATATGGTTTGACCAACCTTTTTCTGATGCTAACCATTTTCTCAACCAACCAATTCTCAATATTTATTAAACCTAGTGCAAAGTTCAAGTTATTGTAAGAGCATGTCCTATATTTGCTAATCAGATATTTGCCTGGATTTTCTAAGCAGCACTAGAAAGAGATGAGAAGCAAATTCTGGTTTTGGTTTCATGTCTTCAATTTCCTTTATAACAAGTTATATTACTGGGCCCAAAGAATCTTTGGAATTTTATTTTGCTGTAAAGATAACTTTTTTTTTTTTATTAAACATGTACAGTAAAAATATGTAAAACTTATTTCAAAATAAAGATTTTCTTCAATGGAAAATTTAATCCTGTGCAATATTATTGTGTTTAAACAAATTTATTTTAAAGTAGATGTAAACTCTAACTGGATAACATTTTAGCTTTCTAAAACACTAGCAAAGAAGTGCCGTGGTGTTTTCCTTTTAGAAAATTTTGGTTCTCGCGCTTTTTTTTTTTCATGCACACTGCGGATTTGTACAGCTGCTATTTTGGGCATCAGACGTTTTGTTTACCTGCCTCAGGTTTTAGTGGCAAAAAGTAAAATCTGCCAGCGCATTCTGGAACATTAGCAGTTTTGTTGTTTTTTTACAGAAAAAACATGACAGCTCCTAAACTCTGCTAAATGCTGGTGCCCAGCGTTTAGCAGAGTTTTGTTTCTTCTTTGAAGCGGAGGCCGCTGGCGTTCTTAACAATGGAGGAGTCATCAGTTGTCAGTGCTGTTCCCCACTGACAGCTGAATTTTATAAAAAAAAAAAACAAAAAACGTGGGGACATTTTTAAGGAGAACCCCATACCAAAATAAAAAAAAATTTGATAACTCATCTGTT